TTTTCGGGACAGGGTTTCTCTGTGTAGCTTTGGAGCCTGTTCTGGAACTAGCTCTTTTTTTTTTTTTTTCTTTTTTAAATTTGAATTAGAAACAAGATTGTTTTACATGTCAATCCCAGTTCCCTCTCTCTCCTCTCCTCGCCCCCCCCCAACTAAAACTACCTATCACATATCCTTTCAGCTCCCCCTGGAGGGTGAGGCCTTCCATAGAGTGTCATCAGAGTCTATTGTATCCTTTGTGGTAGGGCCTAGGCCCACCCCCAGTGTGGAACCAGCTCTTGTAGACCAGGCTGGTCTCAGAACTCACAGAGATCTGCCTGCCTCTGCCTCCCGAGTGCCGGGACTAAAGGTGTGCACCATTACCGCCCAGCTAAAGAGGGTATTTAATAGAGAGCTGCTCTATAGAGAGGTGGGGCTTTAGTGGAAACAGGCTAGTTTGACTGGTTTCTAAAGCTTTGGCTCCTTGGGAGTTGGTGACCACATCCCCCACTGCAGGAGAATGGGAAGAAGCCTGATGGGCTCCAGGCTAGGGTGGGCCCTCCTGCCGCACCTTCTGTGGGCAGCTCACCTGCCTACTTGGTGACAAACACCTCTGTGCTAAGGCCAAGAAACTGCCAGAATGCCAGGGAGGCAACTTGGCACCAGACAAAAACCTTGATTTCTAAACATTCCCGGGTATCCAAACCCGGAGGCTGTGCTCTGCTGTTTATTGAGTTTTGTCCCTTCCTAAGTGTGGGTCCTCACTGCTCTTGTCTTGGGACTTGAGATCCTGAAGAATGAGCACCTCCTCTTCTATGAAATGGGGTGGTATAGTCCACATTGCACACTGGGTAAAGAAATGTGAGGGTAGAATGTTGTGGTGGCCATGCTAGCAAGACCAGCAAATCACCACTAAGAAGCACAGAGTGGGTAGAGTGCCATTGATTCCTTAGAGAAAATGTCACCAATGGCCTGCTTCAAAGAGTACCTAGATCCAAGTTACAAAGCTGCTCAGACTAACTTCTGACCATCTAGGCACATGGTGAGTGGCTGGGGACACAGGTGTGATAACTGAATCCCTTTGCCTGAAAGAACATTGCTTGCAAACCAAACTCAACAACTGCCACTCACACATGTTCTGATCACTGTTATTTGTTTTGTACCTGACTCTAAGGTGAGGAAGTGGAATCTCAAAAAGATGTGAAGTCTCGGACCGGCTAGTGTTAGAGCCAGTGAGTCGCCAAGTCTGGTGGAGTCTGAGCTTACAGCTCCATCTCCAGGGGCCTGAGCTTAGTGGGGGTAATTGGAGTCCAGTGCCTTACAGGAAGAACAGAAGGAACAGAGTCCCTTGCTAGGGACTTGCCCACACTCTAGGTAATCAGTAGTGTTAGTGGCCATTGTAGATTCTTGATATCCAGTCAGGCAGGGTGTCCTGGCTAGAGACATGCAGCAGATAAGGTCCAAGTTGGATCACCAAGGGCCTTACACCAGGGCCAATGCTCCTCATGCAGCCCTTGGGCTCCTTAGCAAGCATTTGTTTTCCCTAAGGATTCTAACCTATCTTCTGCTAGTTTGGCAGTTCTGAGTGGGCAATAATGAGTCTGTTTACTTTTCTTTCTTGATATTTATTCAGCTAATTGCATCCCAAGAGAAGTAAACCCCCAGCATTCCAGCCGTCTTAGACTGGGGACTAGTTCAACTCCAGTCAAAGTGCCCTTCCTTGCTTTCTCCCATAACCAACAAAGAAAAGCAAACCCAACTGTTTTCCTTGGCTTGGAAATTAAAATAAAAACACTGATCCGAATCACTTTTCCACATTGTGTGGTGAGGAGTTTCCATTGTGTTGGGCTTCCCTCTCCCCACCAGCAAGGCTGCAGTGAGCACGTGGCAGGATGGCCTCTGTACATGGGGAGGTGCACTCCCTGAGCCCGTGTCTCACCTATTTGGCCTATGTGGTGGTGGCACAGGCTGCATGTCTACCTCCCTCTTGCCACCATAACACTGTAGCCCGGGCAGTGGGCTCTTCTGTGGAAGAAGTGTAATTCTGGTGACACAGAGCTGTCTCCTGGCCCGTGGCAGAAGCTACTGGCTTGGGATATACTTCTGAGTTCTTATCTCAAAGATTAGGAATGAGAAAAGTTCAAATAATAAAAATAACTCTAACCAATTATTTCTGTGGCCCAAGCACTTTGTATCATGTCACTGAATCTTCCCAGCAACCCTTTGGGAAGAGCTCATTGTTTTAGGGCAGCCATGTACTAAGTTAGGTGCTGGGGCTCACACCTGAGTCCTAGGTAACAGCAGGGCAATTCCCCCATTGGCTACTGAGGTAGAGATGTACTTTGCTGGCTAGCTCTGCCAGGCTAGCTCTGCCATTCTAGGGGATACAATCATGGTCTTTATGTATTTCTAGTATTCTTTCCTTTTTCTTTAGATGGGGTTACATGTGTCTTGGGTCGGCTCTGAACTCCTTGTGAGGCTGAAGACCATCCCTGCCTCCACCTCTCCAGTGCTGGGATTAGGGGCATGTGTTATTACACCCCATTTATACAGTGCTGTGGATTAAACCCAGGGCTTTCACTAATACCAGGCAAGTGCTCTGACTGCTGAGGTATACCCCTAGTCTTAGTACAGCTATTTAATTACCACAGAGGTGCAGTCAAGGCTAATAGCAGGACAAGTGAGGAGACTGCTGAGATCGGAAGACCATGAGTTGTTTGCCTGCATCAGACAGCAGGTATACGAAATACACCAAAGCATGCCTGC